CTATCTAAACAGGTTTATTATCTATCTAAGGATGTTTAATATCTATCTATCTATCTATCTATCTATCTATCTATCTATCTGATCCATCTATCTATCTATCTGATCCAATCCCTAAAAAAAAATAATTTCCTCAGTGTGACTTCTTTATCACTTTGTAAATGTTTTCAAGATGATTACAAAATTGACCTCACTAAGTTGAGGGTTAGCCATTGTTTTTCCTAATGAACTTTACATTTTGCCTTTTCATACGCTCATCAAGCACTACAAGGTAACCCTCCACCTTGAGTGGTTTTGGGCCTTCGATTGGTCGAACATTAGCATATATAAAACAATTACAAGAGCTTTTTCAATCCCTGAAGATTTTTTTGTTCAATAAACACTTGAAAAAGGTCGTAGGTTAAACAGCCCACACGTTGTGATAACAACAAAAGTGAAGACAGTCTACGAATTTAAATCGTGTTAATAATAAGTCTTCATTACGAGAATTCAAATAGAAACGCTCTTTTCAAGAAAAGAAATATATAGTTTCACTTATCGCCCAGTTCATGATTCTCTCCGGTCTTTGGTTTCCTGTTTAGGACAGGGTTTTCGATTCCTTCTAAAATATATTTAAACTCTACACTAGATAGGGTCGCCTATCGCCCGGTTCACACTCCTCCCCAGTTTTTTGAACAGGACTAGAAGTTTCTTATTTAATGTTTAGTTGCTGGAAGGCATCTTTCAATACATACTCCTTGTTTCCTGTTTAGGATTGGGTTTCCGATTCCTTCTAAAATATATTTCAACTCTACACTCCGAACGTCTCAGCCTAAAACTATGAAATTTTATTTACTGTTTATTTATATTTTTCTACCCAACAGGAGTAGATAGGATCGCCTATCGCCCGGATCACACTCCTTTCCGGCTTTTTGAACAGGAGTAGAAGTTTATCCCTTCTTTTTTTATTTATGATTGGGTTTCCAGTCACCTCTGAATTCGTTTTCTTCTTTTCTGGTGATTCATTGCGTCTTGGTTGCATTATTACCTTGCCTGGGGCGATGCCTGTTACTCTGTAGCATCTTGAGTGGATCTTGGGCCTTGTATAGGGTGAACGTCATTGTAAGACATAGTTTAGCATTCATTCAACCAATTCCTGATACTTTCTGATAGGTTTTGTGTTTATCTGTGGTGAGTGATAATCCCTGATGTTTATTAAACCTACCAAACCACATTAGCTTCAGTGTCATCGGCGAGTGGGATCGTAGAGGCGCCGCGCGGCTGTGCACCTGACCAGTTCTCTGCACATATCTAGAGAGTTATTCATTCAAACGAACGGTGCCTTGGGGCTGTGGAACAAGCAGGTCAAACCACAGCCAATGTCCTCCAACTTGAAGTCTCCACCATGCCCGTTGATGTCAGTAGAGGAAGACCTGCACCTATCATCGCACTGGCTGCATACATAGCGATGGATCCCAGGGTATTATGCTACATGTCTATTGACCCGATCGTTCATCCATCCATTGACAGTGCTTGTCTTTAATCCTGCTGGGAGCCTAGCCACTTTTATCGCCCAGAGAAGACTGGTAAGGCAACCGACTTAATGGCTGATGACCTGACAATGCGGCAATTAGTACGAGTTCACATGGTATCGGTGGCACACATGGAGTGAAATCACGTAATGGCAACGGTAGATCATTGGACTGATGACAGTAGGATCGCTTCATTCAATATTTTAGCAGTATTATTTGTAAGAAGAGACGGTACAAACACACACACACATGCATATATATATGAAGAAATATAGTCTTAAGATTTGCTATATTTATGGGATAAAGTGCTCAATATAAGATAGCGTGTGTAAATATAAAAGTGAACATAGAAGTCAACACTTAGAGTCGACAGTCTCTAAGTGTTGACTTAGACCAGACTAGTGGTCTGACGATTGCATCTAGCATGAAACAGACTGTCTCCTCTAAGTGTTGACTTTTTGTTCACTTTTATATATATATATATATATATATATATATATATATATATATATATATATATATATGTGTGTGTGTGTGTGTGTGTGTGTGTGTGTGTGTAAGGAATGTAGTCCGGGGTATAATGATAAACTAAATGCGGCAGATCGGGAGATTGGAGGATTTGATGAGCGTGGAACCACCTCTTAGTTACTGTTGTTCCCAGGTCCACTCTGACCCGGGCTGTGGTAGCGTCTGTTAGGGTCCCGGCTATGGGCAAATAGTGAATCCACAGACAAATAGAAAACACTATGAAAGTATGAAAATACATTTTATTGTAAAATTAATAGCAGTATATTTTCAGAATAAAATTACCAACAATAAATTTTATAGTAAAATGAACATCAATACATTTTTGCATACAATTACCAACAATATATTTTATAGCAAAATAACTAACAGTACATTTTATAAAAGAATTACCAACAATACATTTTACAGCAAAATAAACAACAATACATTTTTGGATATAATTACCAACAATACATTTTTATACCAAAATCACCAGCAATAGATTTTTCTATAATTAAAGACATACAATTGCGTTCAAAATATATTCAGTTGAAGTCATAAAATTGTCTTCAAAATATTTAGATTTCGGCATTAAATAACCCATAGAGATTGATATGCCACTAAACAAAATCAACGAACTCGACAACTGACGTGAAATAACTTTCATGACATTAATCCATATAATATCCGAGAACTTCTTACAGAAATTCAAACTGTAACCCTAAATATAACTCTGACAAAACTATAACATAAACACTCACATATCATCGCTTATAGTAATTACCTCCACATAAACATATATATACACAAAAGCTGTGTATCATCGACCATGTATTCAACTGTGAAAGTAGAGTAACATATATGATATTTTTATTACTTCAAAGCACCCAAGATACTTAAATTTCGGCATTGTATGGCCCATAAGTTGTTGATGTGCCGTTAAACAAATCAAGCAATTTCTAAGGAATTAATGGATTTTTTACTCCGAAATTATTTCTTTTTCATTTCAATCATTTTAGTGTATACTCATATTAGCGTAGAGTACCCTTTTTTTTATTAATATTTTAAAAATTCGAGAAACCTAAGAAAGAAAATGTGCCCTGTTGCCGAGCAGTCTAAAGCGCAGTATTTCCTCATACGGAGGGCGAACAGATTCATATCCTGCTGTAGAGCACGTATGGAAGCACGTAGAATGCGCAGGCAGGCCGGTAGACGTTCACGCTATAAAAAGTATCTGCTAATGTGGGATCAAAAATCCCATTTAAAAATCATTGTATATGTATATATATATATTTTTTTTACTTTTTTACTTTATTTATTTTTTTTTTTTTACTAATTTTCCCCTAATACAAAGCCAGAGTGACACTCAAGGTAGAGGGTTGCTGTGTGGCCTTGTATGATCATAAGATATGACAAGAAGGGAAGTTCATGGGGTTAAGCAAGAAATATTGATTTGAAGAGGTCAAGGATGTAGCGATTGAGAAATCATTATTTAAAGACACATTCTTGTCCACATTCACAAAGTAGAAAAATATTAATTGACAATACAAGTATACTCCACGAAAATAGAAAAATCCAAATTCTTGAGGTCTCCCATATAAGTAACATACAACCAACATTAAATAAGGTTAGTTGTGAGTATAGAAACAAAGGTGTATAACATTTTAAAATGTCTATAATAGCAATTCTTTTAAATGCTTAAGTTATAATTGTAAAATTTACAAGTATATAAATTAAAGTTTCCTACCTTAGATAAAAACACAACCAATATTGAATAAGGTTAGTTATTAGTATAACAACAAATATCTATAACATTTTAAAATGTCTATAATAGCAATGTTTTTAAATGCTTAATAATTATGAAATTCACAATTATATAAATTAAAGTTTACTCCTTTAGATAAAACACGAAAAAACATAATAGCTTTAACAGTTAATTTTTAAAATAATTATAACAGAATGCGTTCATACGTGTCTAAAATAATTATAATAGAGAGCATTTCATGCGTATTTACAAAAAAATCACAACTATTAATTACATTAATTTTTTTATCTTCAACCCTGAATATGACCTCGGATGAGATTGAAAATAGTTAAAAGAAATGAAAAAATGAACTACGGTGCCTTCCTTAATGAATTTAATATCAATACTAGGCAGTCGATCAGAGAATTCGAGAGGATTAAAATAAAAATAAATGGACATAATATGTATAAATTATTCAACCAAATATTCTTGAATGAAGATATGCTGCCTAAATATACAAATATATATTAGATGAAATACCTGTTTCCATTGAGTAAGATGTCAATATTGGCTTTAATGGCAACAAAACGATCCTTTTGTCGGAATGGTGAGTTGATCAATTTAAAAAAAAAAACATCATTAACTTTACTCTTCATACTTTGTTCCAGTAGAAAGTACATGAAAAATATCGTCCTGGGTATGACGATAAACTACGTCCAGCAGTAAGACTTCTGATCAGGAGCATTTGATGAACATGGAACCATCTCTTAATTGCTGCTATTTCCAGGTTCAACTTGACCCGGACTCCCAGCGATGGGAAAATAGTAAACGCCTAAACTAGGGTAAAAATTAAAAAAAAATAAAAATAAAAAACTGATATATAGTTTAAAAAAAAATAAGAATTACCATCAACAGATTTGTAAAAGAAAAAAAAATTATTAGCAACAGATTCTTGTAAAAAGAAAAATAATATCAAGGCTCCCAAGAAAATTAAATTGCGTTATTAAATGACCCATAGGGTGTTGATATAACGTTAAACAAATAAACGAAAAGTATAATGAAGAGATGCCCATTTTACAATATCATTGTTTCAGTGCATAAATTTTTTTCCCTGTTGGTCATATATATATATATATATATATATATATATATATGCGTGTGTGTGTGTGTGCGTGTGAAAAGCGTGTGTATATAAATATAAATAAATATATATATGTATAATTATTTATAAAAATTAATCAGTTTGTCTGACGATCGCTAAAGCGTGAAACCCAAGGTCACAAACTCGCATCTATCCAACCAAAAATATATATATATATATAT